CTGCTTACTGAGCACGATTTAGAGCTATCGCTGTCCACGCTTGCCCCACTATTAGTGCTAAATCGAAGCGCCGATACGCCAGAGCGAAAGCTCAACCACACGCAATTCAATGTCACTCGTGTTTCATTACGTACAAATCGGTGCGAAAGTAATGAGGATTGCAAGGGTGGCTCCTACTGCTTGGGATATCGGTGCATCTGCCCAACTAATATGATCATGAAAAATGGCTTATGTCATCGAATGTTTCCGTTTCTGCGTGAAAGAGGTCAGAGGCTTCTGCCTTTACCCATGATTTCTTGTCGTTTTTCATTCAAGAAGTTTTTTTTAAAGCAGTCTTTAACACTATGCAAGGAAATTGCAAACCACGTAATAGAAATTGCCCCCTCCACTCCCTGTAGGAGGCAAAGGCATTCAGAAGTATTTCGTGGGCGCAGCCGTTGGCAGGGCTGTTTATTGCTACCTTATTCGAGGGTTGCTTGCGAGCAAACCGATGATGGGTTTGTCCTCTTGACATAAAGCCAGTACCATCTACATTTTTTGAATTTCTTTTTTATAGCTTTTTTTTATTGCAGTAGCAGTAGAATCTGTCACAGCTACACTCTGCATATGGGATCACTGTAGTAACATAACTGACCAGCTGTCCGGGCAGTCTTGGTATTTTCAGTAGCCAGTAATTTTTTAGTCTCCAGCTTATACTAGGAATGCTTTTAGTGTTTAATCCGCTTTACTTTGTTTTGCACTTCTTCTAATGCTTTGAACTTATCAGCTGGTCATTTGGGTGGACGCTGCACAATGAATCATACGTGCATTGCACGAAATACAGTGTGTCAGAACGGAGTGTGCGTTTGTCTTCCGGGTCATCGAATATTCGGAAGTACGGAGTGTATTCCCAAATCAACAGCATCACTTTATATAACCCGCACCCCCGCGCCAAACACCACGGGGAGCACTAACGAAATTACGGAGCTGGCAACGAATGAAGCATTGTCGTCAGTAGCAGAAACCGATGGCTTAGTGATGATGGGCACGAGCCTGGATTCCGGCTTTCCGACGGCCAATTCAGTGACTGATACGGGCACCGAACGTATCCCGCCTCATCGGCGTGCCGAAATCATCGTGAACATATCGGGTGGTGTGTGCAACGAAACAACACTCTGTCTGTTCTTCTCAATCTGCAACAACGGCGTTTGCAAGTGCCCGCTTGGATCACGCATCTCGGAGACTGAGTGCAAATTCATTGTCGATGGTAAGTTGGAGAGCTCATTCCAGAGACCTTACGGATGAGGAAGTTGGATTATCCCAACGAGGAACTCAGTGAGGGACTTTTTTTGGGGCGGGAAGGGGGC